TGTTGAAATATTGAATAAAGTCGTGAAAAAGCGATTGTATTATAAACAAGAGCACTTTTTGATCCCATCATGATGCTTTTGTACAGATAAAACATGACAAATTTCATGTATTTTGCTGGTTATTATCAATTTACAAATAATAGGTGAATTTATCTCTTTAGCCAATGGGAATGCGACAAATAATAGGTCGATTTTCTAGTTATTAAATTCAATTGCATGCTTGTACGTTTGTTAATGCATGGTAATCTCGAATTTGTTTAGCTCTACATATTGAGTGTTTATATGTTATCATTATAGCTACCTACCTGTTGAAATGTGCGGATTTGTTTGAATTTTGCAAGAAAATAGAATAAAAAATGTATTCTGACCAATTCCTTATCTTTCGTTACATCACGATAGTAATAATTTATGATGAGTTTATGGGTTAACGAATTCCTTCAAAGCAATCAAAACAGTATGTGTCTTCCATCCTCAAACACCGGTATGTGTACAACGTGTCAATCCCTACATCTCCGTGCTGCCTAATGGAATTACTATAGACATAGACCTAAAATTATTAATAGTTAGTCTGAAAATAAGAATTCCAAAAATTATAAATATTAGGGGTTTGATTAACGTTTTTGTCTGGTGGTGACACAAAGCATATATACTGAAGAAGGTTTAATTCCACGCTATTCAAGGGCAACACGGCTGACTTGTGATTGTCATCGGCCATTTTCAGAGTGCATTATGGTTGCCAGATTGTGCAATAATGATACTTGACGTTGCCAGCTGAGATATCTGTATGTGCTTTTATATAGTTATATAGAAATTTGGTGGGATATGGGGGATGTTATAACAGCAGGTTTAAACTATAAATACACAGTAGGTGATGTTAAGTTAGTATAATAAATTGTATAACGCTTTCGATAGGCATGTTCCATGCACATTACCAAAGGATAACAGATACCCTCCCTGGTTTTCTCGTGCAATAATCTTTAAAATATCGAAAAAAATATCGCCTCTGGAAGCGATATAAGAGAACTTTGGTTAGATCTGACTGAAGCTTTCAGTAACTTGCGAAGAGCCATCAAAATCGATATAGACTTGGCGTTTTCTAATTTTGTTGCAAGAACTGAGCGTGCCCTTGCGCAAAACCCCAATCAATTTTGGCCTTTGTTAATTTGTGCAGCAACAGATCAGGCATACCCAACAATATGTCTTTGGAAAATGAGGAGTTCGGGAATCCACAGGAAATTGTTGATACTTTTGCCAAGAATTTCCAGTCCACCTACATCACGTCCTTTGATATATCTTTTCAATTTGTCCTTGAAATCTGCCACCTTTCCTAGAAAATGGAAATTGTCTAAAATAACACCTGTTTTTACGAAAGGCGATCGATCGCAGGTAAAGAATTACAGGGCAATTGTTATTTTAAGTAATATTGCCAAAATGCTTGAGTTTGTTCTTTTGGATATTCTGTTCTCTCATGTAAGTCGGTCAATATCGACGAGTCAACATGGTTTCTATAAGGGTAGATCTACGTGTAGTAATCTGGCATGTTTTAAGCAGTACTCCGCGTCAGTTCTGGATAATGACGGGCAAGTTGACGTAGTCTATACTGACTTTTCGAAAGCTTTCGACCGTTTGGATCACGGTGTTCTACTGCAGAAGTTGTCTAAGTACGGTTTAACATCCAGATTCTTAGCTTTCTTTCATTCATACATCAGTGATAGATAATTATGTGTGGACTGCCGTGGATATAAGTCTAGTGCAGTTTTAGCTACATCAGGGGTGCCCCAATGTTCTGTTCCGGGTCCTCTATTATTTTTAATTTTCATCAATGATGTTACAACAGACTTGCGTTGTGAGTACCTGCTATATGCCGATGACCTCAAAATCTTTAATAGCGTGTGCTGCTTAGAAGACAGTTTAAGGTTACAGGCTGATCTGAATGTCATTGATCACTGGTGTAAGGTAAATAACATGCACTTGAATGTCAATAAATGTACTACTACGACGTTTACACGCAGGGTGGAACCGACATGTTTTAATTTTGAAATCGGTAGCAATGTTCTTTGTCGTGTTAATATCGTCAAGGATTTGGGCGTATTATTCGATCTAAAGCTTTCTTTTATTGATCACATTAATGCAATAATAGCAAAAGCCTTTAAAAATCTTGGTTTTGTTATAAGAAACAGTAGACATTTCAATAATACTAATACATTAATTTTACTTTTTAATGCTTTTGTCAGATCTATTTTAGAATACTGTTGGATTATCTGGTACCCGGCCTATGATATACACTGTAAAAACATCGAGAAAATCCAACGTCGTTTTGTGAAATACTTATAGTTTAAAGATGGTAGAGAGTACCCTGAAAGGGGTATACCCAATGACATTCTGTTAATTAGATATAATTTACATAATTTAGTCAAACGTATGAATCTGTTAGCTGCTAAATTTTTATGTAATTTGTTGGATGGAACAATTGATTGCCATTTTCTTCTAGACAGGATCTCTCTACGCGTTCCCGATTTGCGTACTCGTCATAGTGGTAACAATTCATTTTATTTACCTGTTCCACGGACAAATTTATTATTTTCGCCTCTTTATGTTCTGTGTAATGTCTGTGTGTAAGTGAACTTGATATCTTTAGTTCCACCAAAATCGATCTCAAGAGGTGTTTTTTAACAATTGGATAATTTATATTTATGTGTTTTATCATGTACTGTTTAGAATATGATAACATTTCAATGACAAGATATCACTTCATATTTTTACAGTGTTTTCTTTTGAATACTTCGATACTATTTGCTGCCAAAAATGTGACGGAGAGATAAAATGATGTTTTGTTAGATTGTGAAATCCGCCCTTAGTCGATTTGTTTACTTATTTCGTAAGGCGTTGATGACGTAAAATTGTAAAAAGCACTATATATTGCATCAAGTAATATTCCTATAGTTGACAGCGATACATGAAAGTAGATCGGAACTGTCAAACATGTTTGGGGCCATACTAAAAAGATCTTCGTATGTGCTGGATGCTCTATTTTAGCTAGATGATACAGTAAAAATATTGCCCATTTAGAGGCTCCACTACTGAAATTGATCAATAATATTTCTCGATATATGTGATACACTTTCAGAGTCTGTGCCTATGAGCACCTGCCAGCTAGCACGCAAACAAACCCAAGCACTGCTAATTGTCGACCCCATTTTCATCTATTTCTATAATTGAAACGACTGCTGAATTTTAATACAACTACGAATTTGTGCCGCACACCGCACTGACGACGGTGGAGGAATGGAATGCCTGTTCATTTGAATAAGTAATCGTCAAGATATCCTTTTATGTAAAGTTCGTGTTCGCGATTCCATCTACATAATCGTACACAAATTCAAATTCTTCGGTAAATGTTTACCCCAAATTTTTGCAAGTTCGTGCCTACAATCGAAGCTTTGATATATTTCTGTTCAGAGTACGAGTTCATAATAAAGCTTGAGTCATTCGGTGACCACCTGTCGAGAGAGCTTTGAGATTGCTTATTGACGTTAGTATCTCCGGTTAGTCGGCTTGCTCTCCCCTAAACCGTATCAAGTATCAAGAAAGAAATTAATTGAAAAAAAATGGCGTCAAGCAGATTGACCATATACTTCCCACGCCTCAGGAACAACTTCTAGACAGCTTTCCATGTAGTGCAATGGCAGAACCATTAGTGCACTATTTGGACTTTTCATAAAAAAATTCCTCACATTGCAGCAATTTAGGCAGCAGCGGTGGCCGCAGTAGTAGACTCTTCGGTCTCCTGATCAGTGGCCGTGCGCTGAGCGGGTTCGAGTCCCGTCCCAGGAGAAATTTTTCTCTTGGTTATGGGTGTTGTGATTGTCCGTAGGTGGTAGACGGTCTCTGACTGTCGAACGTGGAGGTACCACCCGGCGGATCTCGTAGGCGGAGCCAGAATGTGTGCATGTTGCATGCACACGTGTTCCCTCGCCAGAGTCCGTGTGGCGTTCCCCCTTTCCCCTGTATCCCCCTATAGCCCCACGGTACCCAATGGGTGTTTAGGCCTTAGGCCTTCGTGGTAGTTGGAGTATAAAAAAAACAAAAAAAAATGAGCGTAGCCATACGCGGCAGCCACAGTTCTCTTGGAATGGAAAATGGAATTACAGATGTTTAATTTATATGTTTGCCAGATAACAGTTCATTCGTTTTTGTCCTTACTATCCAGAGCATTCTATGGACTTTTTCATGAGTATCCATTACGTTTCGAAATTGTGGTTTTTGTCAGCTTTTGATGTTCCGGACCGCTGATTCCTTCAATTCGCTCTGCGGAATCCTTTCGATTGAGTCGTTTAAAACCAACAAATTCGGACTAGGTAGAAGGAGCAAGCAAACGATTTGTTTTTAACCAAAGTTACGTAGTCAGTCAGGTCATCAGGATGCAAGTCCATACAACAAGTTGAACACCCTTAAGCCGAGAGCTTGACAGTTGTTGGCATCTCACATACAATTCGTACGTTTCTGTGAAAACATATAAAAATGCGCGGGTTTCATACAATTCTAGTGGTCCAGACATTTGTCGAAAATAATGAAGGTTTAAGAGCAAATATTTCCACCAATAAGTGTTATTTGTATATATTACAGCGAACATTAGGATTTGACCTGGACAATTGCAAAGTAATTATGATTTATTTCATTTCGCTCCTTGTTCCATTGACATTGAAAAATGCAAAATATTGGAGGCAAACAAACTTTTCTGATGGATAGTGAAAAGGGCCAACCGAAACTTTAACTAAAGCAAAATTTAACTTCTACTTTAATTTTCGTTCAAAAGTTCTTAGTAAACGTATTTTTGCGTTATAAGTAGTAATGTTACGATCTTATATCATATATTATAGTTGTAGCTTGATTATTTTCATTATATGTTATAATGTCACAGTACGGTACAGCATACTGCCTAAAATGTCAAAAACACTTCTGCTTTTGTCCAGAGTCTATCAATTTTCACATACTTTCAGAAGAAGAAGAAGACAACTCTCTGTTTTGCTCCGAATCAATAGAATCTACTCCATCTCCGGCGGCACCTGCATCAACGGCACCCGGACCATCCACCACCACCACCACCAAAGACATACAACAAAAACAAAGTTGCCCTTGCAATAAAAGGGAAAAAGTGTCAGCCCTACCAAACCAACCAACAAAAAACATAACTATACAGGTACATTATAATGACAAAGGGGAATTATTATATAAAACAATTAAATTCAAAACAACGTGTAACTATGAGAAAAAAAAATAAAGATAGATAAACTCCTTACAGCGTATCGTTTATTCTCTGCTATCTACACCCCCTCCTCCCCCCAGTAGTACGCTCGCCAGAACGAGCCCCATGCGCATGCGCACGCGCGCGCGCTACTAAGGGGGATGGTGACAAAAAGGCGTTGAAAAACGACGGTTTTTTTTTTGTACTTTGGTCTAGAGTGACTGGTCTAGAATGACTTTTGGTCTAGAGAAACTGGTCTAGAACGTACTTTGGTCCAGAACGTGTAGTGGTCGGGAACGCCTATAAGTTTTACGGTACAATTTCACATGCTATTTTAGGTGGCCGGGAACGCCTATAGCTGTACTACTCTTATATCAAATTAATTAAAATATTTCCAAATATTTTCTTTGGATATAGAGTCAATGATATAGAAGCAGGAATTTCGATATTATGACCAACTAGGTATTATTTGCTTTTAGGCAAGAATCTTCTCGTATCGCGACAACTATTTTGAAAAACCGAGTAGAATTTATGCACTATTTAAAAATATCCGCTATTCCACTATTCTTGCTGTTCGATGGAGAAAGTATTTAGTCCTGTTCAGCTTAAAAAATCACGAGTAAAACAAAATTTTCCTTATACTGTGCTGTCCTTTCATGTTTTATCTTACTTAATTTATCCCTGTTTGTTAACAATAACTGAGCAATCCGCATCGCAACACAGAATGTATTTCTAACGTGCACTACATGAGTGCACTCAGTATGAATAACTACTTGAGTTTCCTTTCCAGAGAAAAAAATTTACGCCGATGTATTGGTTTGTCACTTTGGCAGACAATGGTAGGCATAGTAGCCAGAAGTATGCAATAAAACTACATAAATGCGACAAGCAACGCATTGTAAACATATGTTCTTGGCTCCTTCTAATCTGTAGAAATTCGTTGTTCAGAACCGACTCAGCTCTATCCTGGAGGCCGTTAGACGATAATGTCCTCAGTTGGTGATCTAAGCAGGGATATTGACGATGGAATGCGTACCGTTCTTCGCTCGTCGATACATGTTTTAGAATCTTCATCCGGATGCATTCTCAATGACATCAATAATTGCTGACAATAAAGCCACAAATATCGATAAAAAGAAATAATGCACAAATGTACCAATCTACTTTGGTGGTCTCGCCTCGCGAGCATGTTGAAAGTAAATTCCTTCTTGCCAAAATTCAAAAATATATGATTCAGCTCATAGATTTATATGCCTGAAAAATATAGGCCGTTGCCCTGACGCGTCCACTCCATGTCGAGAAAGACATTCGCCGATGTCGGCTGCAGTGTACACTGCTATTTATACTGTTCTACAATTAGATTATAGGAAGTCGGGCATTATTGTAGAGACATGCGTTCGTAAAATTTCGGCATACTGGCATGCGTACTCGTATACATGAAATTTGGTAAACAGAAATATAAACGTTCGTCATCAAGTTAACCCAGAAAGTAGTCTTCAACTATACTCAGAAGACTAAGCAAAGGTGGAGTGGCGTAAATGGCAGACCTGCCAGATCGGAATACTGGAATTGCTGGTTATAATCTAACCAAAACAAAATTATTTTTCCTTTCTTTAAAATTTAGACAGCTTAGGACTGTGAATAGAATGGCGTCAGGTAGATTGACGCTGCACTGCCCATGCAACGCTGTCATCAGTTTATAAAAAAATATGCTCTGCCTGAAAGGTTGACTACAAACATGTATTTTAATGAAATCATTGGTATAGTTGTCGTCACCGTCATTAGCGCTATATGAAATAAGTAAACAGATCGAGTATCCGCACCATGGGTGGATCTTGAGCTTCAGCGCATCTGCTACTCTCTCCAGTACGCTTGAAGTGGGTAACAGAGGACCGCTGTTTTCATTTTCTTCCTGGAAATACTTTAATAAATTTAGTACGAGTTGTCGGCCTTCTCCATTGATCGTATTTACGGGCATTGTACAATTTTATATTGAAGATTGATAACAGGACAATTAAAATTGCACGCCGATGTCAACTAAGTTGTCACTCTGACAAATACGATTGAAGGGCGCTCATACCTAACGACAAAGTACCTATTTGAGACGGAGGCACACAACAAAAAAACGTATGACTGAGCTTACCGAACATACGTTCACACACAGTTGTAGAATGCATGCGTATGTATGTGGGAGATGGAGATATATGAAGGGATACTGGTTGTCTCACTTTAACCAGCCAAGAACGGTGAGTACAACTATAGTAAAGTTAAAATTAGATCGCCACAGTAGATTGGCGGTCATGTCAAATGCCATTTGGCTAATATCTTTGTATCATGTAAGATTATAAACAGCTAACCATTCTATCAAATCTCTCTTTTTCTCATCTACTTTTGTAGCTCTATATCGCATTACATTTTTTAATTTTACTTCCCGCGCCTACTGGCGAGAGAGTATTGTAATCGCGAAAAAATTCCAAAAAGAGATACACATTATGTTTTTTATTGTTATGCGACATGCACAACATGAAAAACCATGTCACTCATTTCCATCGGTCTGTCTGTCTGTCGGACTGTCAGTCTGTCTGTCCGCTAATCCTTGACCCGTCTATAACTTCTAAAGTGCCGTTCGGATTTGGATGAAATATTCACAGAAGGTCATTACTATGTCAGAGTTTTTGAAAATCGGTCCAGTAGCGGCAGAGAAAACCAAAAACGAAACAGCATTCAAACTTTTTTTACGTTTCAAAGGCTCCTGATCATTTTTGGAAAAAAGTTGCCCTGCATTCTAAGTTTTGAAGGCAAATGTACCTACAGAGAAATCTATGATGTGTGAAATATGGCTAATAGGTGCATAGAATTGCCGAGGTCGGGAGCCTAATAAAATAGAATATCTCAGGATCAAAAGTTTTCTTATCCTCCCCCTCCCCCTACAACCACCAGCCCTCATATATGAACCGCTACATTTTTTCTGGAAATAGTCAGGATACCCCAAACCTTCAAAAAACGAAGTTTGAATTTTTTTTCGTGTTTGGTTTTTTCCTCCATCGCCACTGGGTCGATTTTTAGAAACTATAATATAAAGCTTTTTCGTTCTGGGCGTAGTAGCAACCTTGTGTCAAAATGTCATCAAAATTCGAGCGGTACTTCTCGAGTTATTGACGGCCCAAGGATAAGCGGACAACCGACGGTACTGAGTGACGAGATTCACATGTCAAATAACATCAAAAAAGCACAATATCTCGTTTTCGAATTTTTTTGCGATTGCAATACTCTCTCGCCCAGTGGCGAAGGAAGTAGAAACGAGATCTTAGAGTCCCAATGCACATTAATCATTTAATTTCGATTGTGAATTGCATCCCAAAGGAATTAGGAGATAATTTTTCGACCGGAAGCCAATTCATGAAAACGAAGGAGTGGAATTAACAGTGGCGCATGACAGCTTTTAACGCTTATCATGCATGCATCCATTTTCGTCAAATTAGTATATTTTTCATATCATAAAAAGATCCACTACAACTTTATCTTCAGAGATGAGCCTGATGGATGAGGGGTCGGTCATTTCTATCGAGGAAACGTTAAATAATCTCGAAAGGTAGTAGAACTACTACCACGTTCTGTTAATCATTCTACTCCCTCGTTTTCAATAACTGACCTCCAGTATTTCTTGCTTCATCCCATTTTTTTATTATAACTCGCATTCTGAATTAACCAAAAATCAAAGTGTATTCGAGCTCTGATTTAGCTCCATTTATTTTCTCATTACCAGCCTTTAATAAAACTCGAACAACTACTCTGTTTATCGATGTGTCAAACATGTCTTTTTCACTTAAAGGTATCGAGAGTATCTAATATTTTCTCACAGAAAATTCTATATCCGTCGGGATATTTCACTCGAGGCTTGCTGTGAAACGGAAGTATTAATAACTCTGGAGGTGTCAAATCAGGTCGGTGTGGAGTGCTATGTCTGCTACACTCGATCGTCAGATCTTAGAAGGATAATGTGCTCTGCGAGATCCACGTTTTGGTGTTTGTGCGGATGATTGACAAGCGTGGTTGGTTCAAGATTAATATGGTGGGGGTAATAAATGCACAAATACTTCCTGTTACAGCTTGAAGTTGAGAAGGTTCCACCGGTATATGTTTTTGTTAAGTGTTTGTGTTACATGGGTGAAATGTGAAATTGCTTGTTCTAATTTCCACTATGGTGAGTGTTAAGGATGTAACGAATATTCGCATGTTTCTTGATATTCGCATCCTCATTCGCGAAATTCATCGAAGTTGCGAATAAGAATATCAGAAAAAGAATATGAAAATATTAGGTACTTGAAAGAGAAAGAAAAACATGGGTTTATTATTTTTTTACTGTAGTTTAAGTTCCCATGGCCGCCAGACACTACTTACCTTTAAAAGTTAAAATGTGGGGTTGAGTAGCGTAAATATATATATACATTCAACGCCTAAATACCCGCTATGTTGGGTAGTGGTTACTGGCCCGTTTTGCTGGTACCAGGTTACAAAGGGGGGTAGGAGTCAGTGTTATCGAATAGATAAAATTTTCAATGAACCATTTTTTAATCGTTAGACAAACTAATTTGAGGGAGATCAATTTATAGTGGGACACCTTGATCGCGGCGTTTGGTAGAACTTATGCTTGGCGGGAAGTATGTGGCATATCTGAATAATACTATGTAATGTCTTACAAAGTATGATATTTATAAAAATCAGCCATCACCAATTTTATTTTTACTTAACGTCTCAGACCTAGTATCAGCAAATTAGACTACCACCTAACCTAACCTAACCTAACCTAAGAGGAATACAGACGTTGAAAACAGGTACAGTGCGAATAATTCACGGTTGAAGTGAAGAGCTAGTAACAGTGCGCCTACAAGTAACCAGCACGTTACCTGCCAACGAGAGCGAGGAAGGTCACTGAGCACTTTTTCTAACATACG